GATCCAAAATATCGCTTTCAATGGTTGTCGTATGACTTAAAATAGGCAATGTATTTTTGTATGCTTCACTGGCGAATTCAGTTAATGAACTGATGTCACACTGACATCGAATAGATTTTCAAAAGTTATTAAAACACGATTTTAATCCTTATTTTCATTTATCAGTCAGCAAAATAGGAAAAAAACTGATGAATTATGATTTGGAAAAAAATATTCCATATTAAATGTCAAGTCTGTATATATATATATATAATAAGTTAAAACACGACGAGGAGAATCACAACATTCACTCTGTCAGCATCGGGTATTATATAGGCTAGATACGCTGCAAGTTTACATCTGCGTTACCACACAACCTTTTTATTAACTCTGTAACGAGCAAATGCTTTGTTTTCATAGTCGTCACCGATACCTGCAACCAAGTCCACAATGAGGACATCAACCAATATGGCTGGAGACTGTTTACTTTTATAACTATCAGCAGCCCGAGATAAACTATAACCTGGGTCAGTCAATCTTTGTACATGTAAGCATGACAAATGAGTTGAGATTACCTTAATGCTTCTTCTTCATTCAAGAAATCACTGGCTCTGCAATAAGAAGAGGGGCATGTATGAACACACACAATGGTTATCTCTTTACACACCTTATATACGGTAGATGATTGACATGTCCTACACTGCAGTATACACTAGTTCTTTATAGTCTCACATATAGGCTACTTCTCATCTTAAGTACTCGGTTATAAAAAAACTCTACTTGTACAGGTGCAGTGGTTGTTTCTTTTTCGATGCACTAAAAAACCCAAACGTTCGAGTTTAGAATATCAATTTGGTCTCGTTCTTACCTCCTGGAGTCGCTATCAGTGTAATCGAAGGCCGAAAATGAACACTTCATCTCCTTCACAGCAACATCTTCTTGCTCGTGTGTCGCCTTGCGCACATCTCCAAACATCCCGCTCGCGACCCTCTCCCCCCAGCAGATGTCTGTGTATGCGATACAGTAGTCCCGTATTGCCGCAATGTACAGAATGTCAAATCTAGATGTAATGCGCCTATTTTCCTTGCAACAGTCGTAGATTCGAGCAGTTTCTTCGCTGTGAAACAGTGCTTGCTCATTCAACAGCTCCACGTCAACCTGGACAATCTGTTTGATCATGTTATAAGACTCAAACAATGGCTTCAGCTGGGATCTCAACATTTCTTCAATTTTCTTTGCCAAATGGTTCTCCTTTTCACAGCACTTGGCAATCTGTTTTTCAGCAATAGAATGCATTGCTTTTGATTTATCTTTATTGTACCTGACGGAGCTTACTTTGTCCTTAATGGCATATGCTGACACTGCAGGGATAAGAAACACGGACGCCACGAGACCAACAGGGATCCACAGAGGTGCAGTAGCTGCCACGAGAACCTTCTGGGTTTTATTGATCCGTATATTTGGTCCTATGCTTTCGTTGATTTGCAACGCAGTGGTGTTATCTCCTCCGCCAACCTCCTCCGACTCTCCATAATTATAAGCTATCTGGGCTTCTATCAAGTTTTGTTGGTGTTCTAATAATTGGTATTTGCTAGCGATATCCTCCCAAAGTTGATTGCGGATATTTTCAAAGTAATGTTTCTGTGTCAGCCATTTGTCTACCTCAGTGTTTATTTTCCTATTTGTGGCTTCTTTTGCTGCTTTGTAGAATGCTGACCACTGGCTGCCTGATTTGCAGTCGGGAAAGTCTTCACCTTCAAAGCGCAGAATGGCCTCTCGTATGCTTCCATTTTTAAGAAGACCTAGTATTTCTCTTGCCGCGTCTTCACTTGCCTTAATAACGGCGGCATTGATCTCGTCTACCTCTTTCCCGTGTTGGCGCTCCAGAATCTGCAGCTGCTGTGACAGAAAGTCTCTTAAGCGTTCGTCCTGACTCATGGAGTTTCTTTTCTGGCGTATTGTGGAATGCAGATGGAAAGATGAGCGTTGCAGAAGGTACGTCGCTCTCCTGAAATGACGGTAAAACATTCAGAATATTCAACTTCAATCCATGGGGAATCAACACTGTTTGTCAAGAACAGAGGTAAATGCACTAGGCTGAAAGACAGCTTTAGAGATCAAACGGCAAATTATACCGAGATAATGCTGAGGAAAATAATTGCCAATGCATACCTGTATATGGTCTCCTGTTTAACCCTCTGGGTCCTGGGGATCAGAAGTTCTATGCCATGAAGCAATGCTGCATAGTCCGGATTTACGACGTCCTGTTGTAATGCGCTGTAGGCCTGAAATGTCCAGTTAAGAAGAGCTGATTATCGTATTTCTGATCTGAAGACCGATTGTAATTTTACTGTAATCTGTGGTTTATATAAATGATGATTCATTAAACATATATATCACATGTCCACAGTGTTCATGTACTAGTAGCCACTAGTTGTACTAGTAGCTTAGGCCTTTAGTATGTAAAATAAACATTTCAAAATCAAATCCATTGTCTTTATATGATGCTACGAATTATATACGAAGGGCACATAACAATATATTTCGTTTTGCACCGATTTTACAAAGTGAAAAGGTCAATTACAACATCATCGCAAATGCTGTTATGTAAAATATACAACTTAGAAGACGCGTTTCGACACATGTAGATATACATGTAGGTAAAATGTAATTAGAATACAACATTAAAACTATGATAACTGCACTTAGAGAAATCAAATGTAACGTACTTGAGTTGTGGCCATAGGAAATAATTGACCTTCATGAAACTTTGTGCTGATGTTCTTCAGCTTTTTAAGTGTGTCATCAAAAACAGCTTTTTTGTTGTCTGCGTCGACCTGGTCCCATCGATTTAACACAAATATGCTAGACGCTGGATCAAACACACTTCGATCCTGAGCACCCTTATGTGAGTTTTTCACAGCAGTTTCTAGTAGTTTTTTCAACTGTAAAAGTAAAAAGAACAGACAATCATGGCTTCACACATCTCATGACTGTGTAACTGTGTAACCACAAAACCTTCGCTACACAACAAGAATTTTGGATAGAATATACCGACCCAAAATGATAATTTTTCATTGTATCCGTATATTAACTTATCTTCAAAGATTAGTTCTATACTTTGATGGGATAAGAAAGAATAGTAGCTTTTTAAATTCTATTTAAACCAATACATAATATTTAGTATATTCGCCCAAAATTTACTTTTGCCCTGAAAAGAAAGTTGTGGCAGAAGTTACAGTAAAATTGATACATTATTAATCGGCCAGTATTTGCCTTGACATATAAAGTTACACGTCAGTTACACCTACCCTTCCCTCCTGTACTCCTCCTGCGTTCATACTGTTAATAACATAGATGAAGGCGGATGCTTTGGGTATGTAGCTTTTAACGAGGTTGGTCATTCTCTGGTTTTCCCCAACACCTGGACTATCCACCAAGAATACGGAGTGCTAGAAGACGAACGGTTTCGGTTCAAGGTTCATTATTATATTTTTCTAATAAATAGCAGGTTTATAACAAGCAATGATTGAGACCTCTGATAGGAGCAGAGCAGATATACATGTATAAGAAGCTAAGGTTACCTTTTGTGTCTGCCGGCTAAGAGTATTAAAATAATGATGACAGTATGCATTTTTCTTAATTATGAAGTGCATATTATTTCATTTCAAAGCACTATATAGGTATATGATAAACATTCTTGAAAATTATAATACAAAAACGATAACAAACTGGTATTTCCTCCAGAGGATTACTCTGCAGTTATTTTTCACTAATGCTAAGCTGGTATTATTAGTTAGTATCTAAGCCTTGTGTAAGTTGTTATCTAAGGTATTAGTTAGTATCTAAGGTGTTACATGAAGTTATTATCTAAGGTATAACCAGTAGTATAAAAACGGTAGTATTTTTGTGCTTAAATGAGTAGTCATTCATCTGCATTCAATTACCTTTTTTGTGTCTCATAAAATATGTAATAAATGTAATGACAGGTGTCGCCATGCGTTAAACAGATAAGCTAGTTGCAGTAAATATCTAAATTTATCATGCGGCATATGACCAAAGAATCTGAAATTAATTTACTATACGTACCTTTAGTAGATCCAATGGCCAAAATATTTCAACTCTCTCATATTCGAAGACCTCCACATCACGGCTGCTGTCAGTTTGGGTCAGGTATGGCTTCAGTTGTTCCACGGACTTTGTCTTTTCCAGGGGAAAAGTGACGTCAGGTGTATCTGAACCGAATCTGTAGACGTCCGCTCTCTTCTGGGTGTCGTATTTGATCTCGCAGATTACCGACGTATTACTTATGAAGGAGGTCGGGAGAACTTCCTCTCCAAGGAGAAGGTTGATGAGAGAACTCTTTCCTGCAGATGTTTCTCCTAAACACAGGAAGTGGTTTTGCACATAATATAATATAATATAATATAATATAATATAATATAATATAATATAATATAATATAATATACCACCCTGCTGTTGCGCTTTCAGTCCTACAGCCGCCATTTTGTCCGTTACATACTAAATGTACTAGAAATGTTCAACTTTAAAGAGGAAGTGACACGGTAAACACAAGTTTACTAGTTTTAGAGGCACATCACTTGACCTGTAGACTTTATTACAACTAAACTGAAAATCGATTACCCATAAAATTATAAACGCTACCAGTATAAAAAAAATACTAATGGATATGGGTTTTGGAGAGCAAACAATGCCTTCTGGTACGGTTTAGAACTATGATTTAGCTAGGCAAAATTCAATTTCAATATGGGGAATATTGGTGTGATATATTTTTCAGAAACCGAAGGGGGGGACCGGACACTCCTGTCCCCCCTCCCACTCTAATTCCACCACAGGTTATATGTCTCATTGCATTGGATAATAGTTAAACTACTTGGGTAAGAAAAGTGTATTGCTGTTAATGCAAAAAAAAAAAAAATGGCTTTCGACATAAAAAAAAAATCCATTTTGTTTGTATTGTAGTAGCTGACCGGGATTGGCACGGGCTCAGTTGGGAGAGCAGTCGCAAGCTTTGCAAGCGTCCCGGGTTCAAATCCCGGTCGAGCCTGGTGTTATCCCA